GTGTGTGTGTGTGTATGTGTGTGTGTGTATATAGTGTATAAAATCCCACTCCTTTCATGTTTTTACTACCTCACCCTCATACATGCCACCATCATCTCTAGCATCAACACCTGAATTATTGCAATAGCCTCCTAACATATCTCTGCCTCTGCTCTTACCCTCCCTCACACCAACCTTTTATCTACCAGCAGCCAGAGCAACTCTATAAAAAAAAAAGGTCAGATTACCCGTAGCTCAAAACTCTCCAATAACTTTTATTTAGAATAAAAGTCAAGAAATAAAAGAAATATTTAGAATAAATTTTTTATTTAGAATAAAAGTCAAAGTCCTTGCAGTAACCTACAGGGCTTCTCCTACTACTCTCCTCTCTGCTTGTGCCACTTTATCTTACTGTAGTAAGTAGAAGAATTTTAAAACTATATGGGTTACACTAAGAAGCTCATGCCTACCCAATGATCTATACTCTCAAATAGTTGATTTATCTACTGCCTCAAAAAAAAAAAATAAAAAATAAAAATTACCTGTACCAATAGTTTCATGTAATTCAAAATATTTGAGAAGTTCATCATAATCTTTCATAGTACTCTTGGAAGTTTAGTCAGAATTAGAAAAACAACCTGTAAGACAGAGATATTACATAATCAATAAATGAAATGATGCCGGATCATCTCCACCATTCTTATAGTAGTATATTCCAGGGGAGAAGACAAAGGCAAATAAGTAGACAACAAAGTAATAATTATAATTTATATGCCAGGCACGGTGGCTCACGCCTGTAATCCCAGCACTTTGGGAGGTTGAGATGGGCCGATCACAAGGTCAGGAGTTCGAGATCAGCCTGGTCAACATGGTGAAACCCCCATCTCTACTAAAAATACAAAGATTAGCCAGGCGTGGTGGCGTACGCCTGCAATCCCATCTACTCAGGAGGCTGAGGCAGGAAAATTGCTTGAACCCGGGAGGCAGAGGTTGTAGTGAGCTGAGATCACGCCACTATACTCCAGCCTATGAGACAAAGCAAGACTGCATCTCGAAAAACAGTTTTATAATTTATAAAAAATACTGAAATAAAAACAAGTAAAAGTGGTTTCTGAGAAGGTAACATTTAAGCCAAGCTCTAATTCAAAGGATGAGAATTGAGAAAATCAGCCCTGCAGGTAATCAGACTGCGATATTCCTATCAAAACTTGAGCAATGGTTTCAATAGAACCTGAACATTACCATGTAAACAATGTTTCCATACAAGGCTGTTAAAATAAAGATCCTTTATTTGGCAGACTTCATTCTTCAATGATATCATTAGCCCCACCTCATTCTTCCCTCATCTGCTCCTTTCAGGCCCCTTTCAACTCACTCTGAGACTACCCAAAATTCTCAGGAGTATGGTTTCTTTTGCTGCAGCAAGCTAAATACATCTAATAATTTTTACTACAGATGTGGTCTTTGGCCTATAGGCCTTAAGAGTCATAGCCCACTAAGGCCAGGTGCAGCGGCTCACGCCTGTAATCCCAGCACTTTGGAAGGCCAAGGCAGGCTGATAACCTGAGGTCAGGAGTTCAAGACCAGCCTGACCAACATGGAGAAAACCTGTGTAAAAAAAAAAAAAGAGTCATAGCTCACAAAGAATTAAACGTAGAATATTCCAGAAAGAGGGAATTTAGGTGCAAAGATCCCAGAGGAAGTAAAAGTTGACAGGTACTGAACTGAGACTGCTTTAGAGGTAACAGGTGATGGAAATGCAGATCTGGAGCTGGGACAACTGGTTAGCCATGAGGCAAGGGGGAAAAAAAAAAACACATTGGATCTCTAGCTCACACCATACCAAATCGGTAATAGTAAAGACTTAAAAGTAAAAGGCTGGGCGGGCGCGGTGGCTCACACCTGTAATCCCAGCACTTTAGGAGGCCAAGGCAGGTGGATCACCTGAGATCGGTAGTTCGATACCAGCCTGACCAACATCTCTAGTGAAAATAAAAAAAAATTAGCCAGGCGCGGTGGCTCAAGCCTGTAATCCCAGCACTTTGGGAGGCTGAGGCGGGTGGACCACGAGGTCAAGAGATGGAGACCATCCTGGTCAACATGGTGAAACCCCATCTCTACTAAAAATGCAAAAAACTAGCTGAGCATGGTGGCGCGTGCCTGTAATCTCAGCTACTCAGGAGGCTGAGGCAGGAGAATTGCCTGAACCCAGAAGGCTGGGGTTGTGGTGAGCCTAGATCGCGTCATTGCACTCCAGCCTGGGTAACAAGAGCGAAACTCCGTCACAAAATAAATAATAAATAAATAAAATAAAAATAAACAAACAAACAAATAAATAAATAAATAAAATTAGCCGGGCGTAGTGGCACATGCCTGTAATCCCAGCTACTCCAGAAGCTGAGGCAGGAGAATCACTTGAACCTGGGAGGCAGAGGTTGCAGTGAGCCGAGATCATGCCATTGCACTCCAGCCTAGGCAATAAGAGCGAAACTCCATCTAAAAAAAAAAAGCAGGAGAATGCAAATGAAGGAATAGGCTGGGCACGGTGGCTCACGCCTATAATCCCAGCACTTTTGGGAGGCCAAGGCGGGTGGATCACGAGGTCAAGAGATGGAGACCATCCTGGTCAACAAGGTGAAACCCCGTCTCTACTAAAAATACAAAAATCAGCTGGGCATGGTGGTGTGCGCCTGTAGTCCCAGCTACTCGGGAGGCTGAGGCAGGAGAATTGCTTGAACCCAGGAGTCGGAGTTTGCGGTCAGCCGAGATCACGCCACTGCACTCCAGCATGGGTAACAAGAGCGAAACTCGTCTCAAAAAAAGAAAAGAAAAGAAAAAGAAAATGGAGGATCAATGAGCTATAAATCTGAATGCATGTCTATATTCCATGCAAAGGACTGAGCAATTTCAAATTGTTACTCTCACAAAGAGAAAGCAATTTGTAAGATGTTGGAATTCACTTCAAAGATTAGGGATTTAAGAATGTCATAATTACAAAAATAAAAATAAATTTGAAAGTGTCATAATTAACTTGATAGAGTTCTCCTAAAAGTTATAAACATCCAGGTCATGGCCTCTGGTCAACCAGCAGAGATGGACTAGTTGTCCGTTTAACAACTAAGGTAACACTGAAAGCATGCACTTTTTTTTCTTTCTTCCATTTTTTTTTTCTTTTTCTTTTTTTTTTTTTTGACACGGGGTTTCGCTCTTGTTACCCAGGCTGGAGTACAATGGCGCGATCTTGGCTCACTGCAACCTCCGCCTCCTGGGTTCCGGCAATTCTGCTACCTCAGCCTCCTGAGTAGCTGGGATTACAGGCAAGCGCCACAGTTTCAACTGCTGAGGTTTTCCTCAAGCTCTTGTATTGTTCTAAATGTGAGGGGCACGGAGGAGACACACTGAGGTTCCCACTGCATTGTTAAACCTCCTCCCCCAGGTTGCGGTGAGCCAAGATCACGCCATTGCACTCCAGCCTGTGTAACAAGAGCGAAACTCCATCTCAAAAAAAAAAAAAAAAGAAAAAAAAAAAAGAATTAACACAATTAACGTCAATTCTATACAAATTTTTCCCCAGAAAACAGAAGAAAAGGGAATACTTACCAGTTTATTATGTGAGGATATGATTTCCCTGACACAAAAATTGGACAAAGTATAGAAAAAGAAAACACAAACTATCCACAATTTCTGGCAGAATAATCAATATAAAAGAACACATTCCAACTTATGAGGCCAGGGTTATCCTGATACCTAAACCAGAAATAGTACCAAAAGAAGAAAGAAAGAGAAAAAGAAAGATACCCTTCATAAATATGATACAAAAATCCTTAACAAAATATTAGCAAATATAAATAATTTAAAAGTATATACCACAATCAAGTGGAATTTATTCCACAGATGCAAGGTTCGTTCAATATTCAAGAATCAATGTAATCTACCAAACCAACAGATTCAAGAAGTAAAATCATATGATGACATCCGTTGGTACAAAAAAAGCATTTAACAAATTCAACTCCCATTCATGATTAAACCTCAACGAGATTGTTTCAGAAAGTACTCTTTGGAGCACTGATATTCTGTGGAAATTAGTGAGAAATAAAAATTCTCATATTCCATCCCATATCTCCTAAATCAGAATCTGAATTCAAATGCAAGTAAAGTGTTAGAAGCACTTTTCTCTAAGACAAAAACAGAAAAACTGTTTGTGCTCCTTCCTTCCCTCCTCTCTCTCTCTCTCTCTCTTTTTCTTTTTTGAGTCAGAGTTTTTCTCATCGCCCAGGCTAGAGTGCAATGGCAAGATCTCGGCTCACTGCAACCTCCAACTTCCGGATTCAAGCAATTATCCTGCCTCAGCCTTCTGAGTAGCTGAAATTACAGGTACCCGCCACCACACCTAGCTAAATTTTGTATTTTTAGTGGAGATGGCTTTTTCACCATGTTGGCCAGGTTGGTCTTGAACTCCTGACCTCAGGCGATCCACCCACCTTTGCCTCCCAAAGTGCTGGGATTACAGGTGTGAGCCACGAAGTCTGGCCTGTTGGTGCACTTTCAACAGGGTTACTGTCGAAGACTGTTCTGTTATTATTCATCTGAAGATCTCTCAAAAAATTTCTCAAACATCAAGAACCATGATAAATCACTTGTTAATAATATAAACCGTGTATCCAATTTCCATTATTGCTATGTCTTTCAGGAAGATCAGAGACAATTTAACAGATCAAAGTTCATAACCATGTCAGACCATATATTCTAAACTTGACCTGGGGTTGACAGTCTCTTCTTCATTTTCTCTAATCTTATTTATCTAGTTTTTATTTATCTAGTCTTGTCATCTTACTATAGAGATTGTTAGCTGTCTCCTAGTTTTTATCTAGTTTTTATTTATCTAGTCTTGTCATCTTACTATAGAGATTGTTAGCTGTCTCCTAAATTCACTAAAAGTAAAAGAAAGTAACAAATAAATAGATGAACAAATAAGAACTTACCAAGGACTTGGTCATTTTTGGCTCTTCAGACAAAGGGGCAGAGATCTGAGAAAACAGATAAGCAGAGGTACAGATGGGAGAAGGAAGTGTGCCAGTGTCACCCATGGACACATACATCAGTTAGTGCCCATGTACCTTACTCAAAAATGTATTTCAAGAGCTACATTAAAATATCATCCCATCATCACATATTGTACAAAGATTTAAGTGCAAAAGTTTTACCGTAACATGGTTAATAAAAAAGAAAGATTAGATTATCCAACATGGTGGTTGTCAAAAAAAATTAGAAACATTTAAATATCCAATAACTGTGGATTGCTTAAATATTTTATAAAATATCCAAAGGACATGCTGTTCTATTATTACATTATCATACTATCTGATTTCACAGGCCCTTTAAGTTATCACCAACCCTGGTACCTAACTCCTCATTTTCACTCTTTAATCTGCTCTAAGTGTTCATTGCTACCCAGTGACTCTACTCCCAAAGCCATTACTGAAATCTCGGATTCACTGATTCCCATGCCTTGCTGCCCATGAGCCCTGAATCATTCATCCTATAATTCCTGATCAGAGAGCCTTCAATTCCTCTACTCTAATGGTCCTGGCTCCCTCCTAATCAATCCCATGTCCCCATGACTGGCCTCTATGCCTGTTTCTCCATCAGACATCCTAAGAGTCCCAATCCTAGGCACACCTGTACCTGCACTGGGGCCTTAGCACACAAACACATCTCCCACCGCTGACAAAACTAGGCCAAAAACTCCTCCACACACGCAAACAGGAACTAAATCAATAAACAAATCTGGGGAAATGATTGAATGTATAGGATAAATTTATAAATAGAAAACACTTCTAAGTGTGAAAAACCAGACTATTCAGAGAAAGAATGAAGGAAATAAGAAAACTCTTCATTTGCAGTACTGAAAGCGAAATGATGTCAGAAATAGCAACTAAAAGATCATTCTTCTGTCAGGGCGAGAGAGACATTTTCAGAAATAAAAGCACTTGCAGAGAGTATCTCTATCTTTGAGAGAAATACCGGAAGAAGTAGTCCAAATAAATGTAAAATGAATCTCACAAGAAATCTTCAATAGGAAAATACTGTTTAGTAATAATTCTTGCAAAATATATATAATTACAAAAGAGGACAATGTGACAATGTGATCAACAGGCCATGAAAGAGAAATTAATAATGTCCTATGATAAAATATTCCTAATCATCTTAGGAAAAGAACAAAAAAAAATGGGGTACAGAATGGAAACAATGAGCAGAAATTTCATCCATCCAATCAAAATATATAAAGAAAAGGCAGAAAATAAAAAGAGCTAAATAGTGAACATCAAATGGAAGGCATACAATCAGATAAATCATTATTACAACAAATAGAGGTAAAATTCTATCAACAGAGACTGTAAGTTGTATTTGAAAAAAACAAAAGCATCTATTGTAAACAAATAGGTAATGTAACATAGAAACATATGGATACAAAATAAAGCTCTGGGCAAAGACACGTCACCCAAATGCAATAGAAGTAAAAACAAGTAGGCGTGTAAGTATCAATGTGGCATTTTAAAAATATATTCTCAATATTAATCTTTTATATGTAAGTATGATCTGCAAATATTTTCTTGCAATCCATGAGTTGCCTTTTCACTCTACTGATAGTGTCCTTTGATGCACAAAACACTTTTATTTTGATTAAATCAATCTATTCTTTTATTGGCTGTGCTTTTGGTGTCATTGATCCAACAAATCACTGCAAAACCCAAATCACGAAACTCTTCCTTTATGCTTTCTTCTAAGACCTTTATAGTTTTAAGTCTTATGTTTAGACCTTTGATCCAGTTTGAGTTAGTTTATGTACATATACACATTTAGTATATATATATATGTGTATATATATATATATATAAAGTACATAATATATATGTGTATACATAGTGTGTATATATGTATATATATAAAGCATATAATATATATGCATATATACTATATACATACACATACATTATGTTATGTTTTAAATATATATACAAATATATTTTTAAAAGCTCAAAATCACTGATACAGAAATGCAAATCCAAACCAAATATATATTCTATATTCTATATTATATGTACATTAGCTAGAATATATTAATCAGCTATAATATATATTATATATTACATGATGTATATTATATATTATTATATATAATGGTGTTTATATCACTATTACATATCCAAATGAATATAAATCATTCTATTACAAAAATACATGCACGTGTATGTTCACTGCAGCACTATTCACAACAGCAAAGACATGGAATCAACCCAAATGCTCATCAATGGTATACTGGATAAAGAAAATGTGGGGTATATATACACCATGAAGCACCATGCAGCCATGAAAATGAATCAGATCATGTCTTTTTCAGACACGTAGATGAAGCTGGAAGCCACTAACCTCAGCAAACTAACACAGGGACACAAAAGCAAATATTACATGTTCTCACTTATAAGTGGGAGCCAAACAACGAGACCATGTGGACACAGGGTGGAGAACAACACAGACTGGCACTTGTTGGGGGAGGGCAGTGGTAGGGAGAGCATCAGGAAAAATGGCTAATGCATGCTGAGTTTAATACCTAGATGATGGGATGACAGATGCAGCCAACTACCATGAGACACATTTACCTGTGTAAGAAAACTGCCTGTCCTGCACATGTACCCCAGAACTATAAAGAAAATAAACACACAAACAAAATTTTAAAAAATTATCTTAATTGTATGTGGGTAGGTCCCTTTGATTGAAAGTGAAATGGAAAGAATTTTTAAAAAAAACTTTACTATTCAAAATTTACAAAACTAAGAGTAAAACAAATTTACATTTTGTCCCTGGATTGATATAAGACAAAAACATTGTGTGGGAAAGCTGGAGTTGAGGATGAATGAGATTCTGAGAATAAAAATCCCTGGTACATAGTCAAAGTTTCAGAGTCAACTTCAGATTTTCAAGGATTATAAAATAGATAACCTCATACCACCGTCTACAACAGATAAAAGAAACCAAATAATATCTGCGTTCCCAGGAGAAAGAACAAAAAATTGGCTGAGTTCTGTAACGGACGAAACTTAGTGGGAAGGAGGAATCTGGAAGGTGGCAGGGTGGAGGGATCGGGGCTTTCAGGGTGGGGAGCGGCTGTGCTTCAGCCTCCCCCCTCACTGCCCCTCCCCCATCAGGGGCCCTTTGTGATGTGAAGGCCCCAGCTCTGTGACACAGGCCTGGGCCCCAGTCCCTAGTCTGCAAGGGAATGCCCAGAGCTCAGTTGCTAGAAGGCAGCATACCTATTCAGATGGCGAATATTCCGTTTCCTCTAAAATTTCTTAGTGATTTGTGGATAAACACCCCCAACTTTACACCATGGGTGTTGGATATCTTCCTAACCCTGGTATTTGTTGTGGAGTTATATTTCCTATTAGCCCCCTGCCTCTCTTACTTCCATCATGATCCACCCTCACCATCGCCCGGGGAGAAGAGAATGGTAAGGAGCCCTCAGGCTGGACCCACACAGCACAATTCTCTTCTTTCTTTCTATTATTAGCTCTACTTTTCCAAATCCAATGGAGAGACTTCCGCAATGGGAAGTGTCAGGAGAGACCAGAACATGGTCCTTCCAGGGAGAGGCAGAGCAGCCAGGGGTTGGTCAGGACTGGGATTTCCATCCCAAGCTCTAAGTCCATCTGTGGGGGAGCACAGGAGGCATCAGGACAAAACCAAACCCCTGGACTCAGTGGTGAGGACCAGTCAGAACATGGGGGAGGTCTCCATAGGGGGACATGCATAAGCCTCTTCCTGGGGCAGGTGGCTGGGGGCCCAGCCTTGTCTGTGTGGGGTGATCTGGGGCTGTCCTGAGCCTCCGAGGGCCTCCCACCTGGGCCTGGAGTCTCCTCTGATCTCCTGAGAAGCAGAATCCTATCTGACAGCTCAAGTGTGCCCGCAGGCCTGAGCCTGGGTGTTCATAGAGGAGCACCTCTACCGTTACTTACATCATATTATATATTATACATTATGTATATTATAGTTTACATATATAATATATATATTTCCTCATGTAGTAAATCCCTCTTTGTGGTGGATTTTATTGTATGTTTGTTTTTTGAGACAGAGTCTCACTCTTGTCACCCTGGCTGGAGTGCAATGGCGATCTCAGCTCACTGCAGCCTCTGCTTCCCAGGTTCAAGCAGTTCTCCTGCCTCAGCCTGTGGAGTAGCTGGGATTACAGGCACACGCCACCATGCCCGGCTAATTTTTGTTATTTTTAGTAGAGACAGGGTTTCACTATGCTGGCGAGGCTGGTCTCAAACTTCTGATCTCAGGTGATCCACCCTTCTTGGCTTCCCCAAACACTCGGATTACAGGCATGAGCCACCGCGTCTGACCCCCTCTTCATGTTTTTCTAAGAAGAAAAGCAGTTTATCATCCACTTAACATGAGTGGGAGGAAGCACACCGCTCCCTGAACAAGACCAGAGAGCTGTGCGGTTCGTGAGTGCCGCGGCTGGACTGGAGACGGAGAGCGAGAGCTGGTCTCAGCCCCTCGCCCTTTCTTGTCTCCCAGGGTCACCTTCTCTCCCAGGGTCAGCGGAGGGGGAGGCCCAAAGGCAGGAAGAAAAACTGCAGTCTGAAAGGTAAGGCTCTGCCGGAGCACACTAGAGTTCATTTGATCTCGTCTGTCCCCGGAGAGAAGCGACTATCTGAGGAAGTCAATTGAAGAAGCCTGAAGTGGGGCTCCTAGGAAGGAAATCAGAACCCTGGGTCCCTCTCAGATTCCGTGCTGGCATGAAACCATGGTGGGCCAAGGACTGGGTGTTCCCTAGCAGGGCACAGTGTAGGGGGAGGAGACCAATGCCTGTCTGAATCAGGAGGGGGGTGAGGGGGCTGTGGACAGCTGTTCAACTCTGCTAAGGCTGACTCCTCTTTGAGAACACCCCAGTCCTTTCTCCCCACAGGGCAGCTGTGAGAACTATGGGGATGGAGGGGGGGTCTGTGTGTGGAAGCCC